TTCTGAAGAAGGGTCCTGACTCGAAACGTCAGCTTTCCTGCTCCTCTGATGCTGCCTGGCCTGCTGTGTTCCTCCAGCTCCACACTGGGTTATCTCAGACTCCAGCATTGGCAGTTTACTTTGGAACCTGATTGATAAGTTGAGCAAGTAAAAGATACGAGATCACAGGTTTGGTAGAATAACATCAGTAAATATTCCCATTTGTTTTGTATGTTTGCACAGATTGAAGCAGCAGTGAATATAGACCTATTTATCACTAATCTGTTCAATTCAGATTTTGCATTAGATCAATAAATAATGTTGTTTGCACATTTCGATAAGTATCATGACACATTAATAAAGCAACCTGGAAATTGAGGACAGAGGTCCCCTTGGACTGGAGTCAGGCAGCCAATTTGAGTCTTCCCTGTTTTAGTTTTAAATTTATTTAGAATCCAGTTTTTCTATATATGTATACTCTCTGCCTATCCGATACGTATGATGCAGAACGGCGCAGCAGTGGAAACTATAACATTTTAAATGTTTTAAATTTTAAAGCACAAGCACGTTGTCAAATTTTTCTTTTCCTTTATACTATATAAGCTCCTAACCCCCTATCTTTTAACCTCCCAATATGCAATTAGGAAAGCTGGGCATATCTATTTGGCAAAAACCCCAATTTACTTGCATCTGTTGAAGAATTTGAAAATTTCAGGCAAGATAATGACTGAAAGCATTTTCTGTTGGCATTTACCAGTTACTCTTCAAGCATCTTTATCAAAATCAAACGGCTGTCCTTTGTTTCTGAATGTCTAGTTGGAACTCCCCAAGCACATTTGTGACTGAGTTTCTCTCACAGTCAACCTTGAGGTTATATATAGAAAAAAATGTTGTAATCTTTTAAGTTGCTTTCTGGGCACGTGTATTTTCAATTCATCTGTTTTTTTTTTTTCAAACTTTTTTGTCCATAACTTTACAGTAATCTGTTTATAATTTATCTATTTCAATACCATCCCATCCTGAAAAGAGAGAATTTGACCTTTGCTGGGATATAGTTACAGACATGCATGTCGTGTTCTGTGACTTCATCAAAGTCCCCATTCTAATGTATGTTTTGACAACCTACTTAATTAAGGGGGTCTTCAGAGCTAACACCCAGGGGCTCTTGTGCAGCAGTAGTGAACCTACCTCTGGACCAGGAGGCCTAGGTTCAAGTCCCACCTGCTCCAGAGGTGTGTAATAAATCCATAAATAAGTTCATTAGAAAATATCTTAAAACCAGCATCTGTGTTTTGTGATTTCTGAATTCAGGAACAGTTTAGCTTTTAAAAAAAAGTAATCAATGGATATTGTAGAATTTACTGGAAGGTTGTTTCTAACCCTTATCAGATTGAACTATCCGCTAATGACTCTTTTCTTTGTAACTACAGGCCTTGTTTGTCTTCTGTGGAGTGATTACTGGCTGCTACTTCTGCTGCTGCCTCTGCTGCTGCTGTAATTGCTGCTGTGGGAAGTGTAAACCAAAGCCTCCCGAGGGGGAGGAACACGACTATTATGTCTCGCCAGAAGATCTGGAAGCACAGTTACAGTCGGACCTGGAAAGAGGTAACTGGTACAAGTTAGATTCTCACTGTCAAACAGTCTTTCTGATAACAAGAAACTTTATGCCAGTATTTCTAAACGTGCCTGAATTATTACATCTATCAAAACATTTAAATAGTTCCACGATTAACTGTGAAGGTGTAAGGTATTGTAAGAATTTGAAATTTTACTTGGGGTAATTAACAAAACAATGCAGAGAAAAAATATATCTTTAAATGGACATATATCATTATAAACATCTTAAACTTATCTCTGTTATGATCAAAGTTCTCCATTAATGTGCAGTTTTGCCATTTATGAATGCCACGAGAGCCTTGTGGGGGCCTGTGAATGCCCTGTTTTATTATGTGAAATTGTTATTTCGATGAGCTTGCAAGTATCTGGCCGTGGTTCATAGCACTGCCTTAGATACTGCTAAAACAACCAGAATAAAGAGTTTGTTGCAACAATTCTTCAAAACACATTTTAAAGAATACAACAATAATTTGGTTTGTGTAGCACCTTTTTGTAGTAAAGCATTCTGGGCATAGAATGAGCAGTAAGTTTGCCAGTATCTTAGCTAATTTTCCTTCCAATCAGCGTACTTAAAATTATTTAAGTGTGGGATCTTGCTGTGTGCAAAGTACTTGCTCAGTTTACCTGCTTTGCAGCAGTGTCTGCATTTCAAAGTACTTGCATGAAGTACTTTGGGACATCCTGACAGAGATAATTGGCATGATGTACTCCTTCAATATGAAATCAAATACTGTCACAATCGAGCTTGAAATTAGAACATTTGATTCCCAACCCAGCGAAGTTAACTTGTTGCTAAAACTTGCCTGTCATTATTGAGTGAGGTGTATGCAGTCTTATGCAAAATATATCTCTGTTATTTATCAGGGGAAGGAAAATGATTTGTGCTAATCCTGTGTAGGAATGATAGGTTGCTAGTATTTTCTCAGCTGGCAATGACAGTCATGGTCTGGAAGCTAGGAGTATAGTTTATGCATTCATAAATCACAAAACGATGCGCCAGATTTTCCGAGGACACATTTGCCACTCTGGCTATTTTTTACAAAAGAAGGGAGCTCTGTATTTCTGAATGGAGATTATAGCAGGTCTTTCGTAGCCCAACTGTCAGAGGAAGGCAATTAGCTACCTTATTTTGAAATTTAAAGTTCCTGATAACCTCTTTGACAGCTGCTGTCAAACAACAAATACATAAGTGTGATGTTAGGCTGCTGGGACAACAGGTGCTAGGTAAGTAGGATGCAAGGTGGTAAAGGTTGGTTCTCCAGTGTTTACGATGGATGGGAAAATTCAGTTTGGGGCCTGCAGGAAAGGTGAGTAATGGATATGGAGATGTCGAGTCTGGCGAGGTGGGTTGAGGGTTATGTTGGAGCTATCTGTTAGGATGGAAGGGTGTTAGATTAGGTTCAGAGGGGACACTGGCTCTCTCATTTGTGGAGGGGATTTGTTGGCTGACCCAGTGAGGGTGATATCTGCTCAGGTTGGTTTTGGTGGGGGTGGTGTCAGACCAGGTTCAATTCAATGATGGGAAGTTCAGTGGAGTCCAGTTATGTTACAACTATTCCTCCTGAAATTAATTACCAAGTTAAGTATAGTATAATTTTTGAGCTAAGCTGTCCAGTTGATCCATACAAAGAGCTCAATGTACCCAAACAAAGAAGCTTTCATTTTTAAGGCCAACCTTACGGACTTGGGTTTACGATATAAATTAAAAGTTCTAGTTATCACCATTTTCATTGGGGAATGGGTGTAGTTTTTTTAAAAAAATTTATATATATATTTGCTTTTATCTGTAAAACAGGGCACATCCTAGGAATATAAAAAGAGTAAAACATCAATCTGCATATTGGAGATTTTATTTCATAAATTGTTTGTAAATTTGTAAAAGAACCGTGGGTATGATCTTCGCTAAAATATGGTTTGGAAAGTTTGACTGACAGTGTAAAATTTATGATTTCATTGCAAACTGCTGATACTTTGGTAGCCTAATTCAGTTTGCTTTCAATTTATGGTTAACGTAAATGGTGTTATGAGAGTTTCCAATATATGCTCTGAAATCGGTTTCCTCAATTTCTTGGATATTGTAATTTTAATATTCAGGATGATAAGAATACTGCCCAACTACCATCGAGCATCTTGTCAATTTTTTAAATGATCTAGCACACCTTGAATGTGATGGAACTTAGGACCTGACAGTGCCGTTTGGCAGTGGTGCTTGCCCAATCTAAACGTCGAATAGTGTTCCCATGTTTTGGACTCTAGGAATAATCAGGGAAAAAGAAAATGGTGTTGCTGTTTTTTCCTTTTTTTAAATAATTTTAAAGATTGCAATTGTAATACATTACCAACCACCATAGAATACTTTTTTCAAAATTGCATTGCTTTTGACGTATACCTTTTCCCTTACAGAATGTATAATCACAAAAATGTCAGCTGCTAGTTTGAAATGGGCAGACAGACTGGGAACAATTGGATCAGTGCATGTCGCAGTGTTTTAGCAGCTGCTGTCTCTTGAGCAATCATTCGTGAACACTTCAGTCTGGTAGTTAGTGTCATTCTGCATCTGTTACCTGTAAAAATAAATTTTCAGAGAAACCAGTGTATACACCTCACTGGTCATTCATGCATCTGGACGTGAAGCAGCATTCAGAATCCTGATGAATTTGGAATAGAAAGTCATACAGTACCTGTTTTGAAGTTTTCTTTTACAGATGATAAATTTTGTAACATGGCTGTAATTAGAAGTATATGTTAAACTTTCAAGCATTCTTTATGATAAATATCCGCAGTAGTAGCTTTTAACCAGATTATTAATTACACAAAATATGCTTCTGCGGATGATAATCTTTTATATATAGGCTGAAGTGACATTGTCCTTAAATTTATTCAAACATTGAGAAATTATAAAACAGTCGTGATCTTGATGTTGTAGGGCAGTAATGGAAGGATAAGCACAATCTCCATTTTTTTTAAAACAGACTATGAAGTGTGAAACACAGAAATCATGGCTGGAAAAGGATGTTTGGTTTTCTTAGAATATTATAAAACAAAATTTTTCTCAACACATTTAATCCTGTAATCTCATGGCCTGAATCTTACAGCAGCAATGAATCTAGTGCTGTAAATTTAGATATCTAGGGTACACATCTTTCCCTCACTTTCTCAATATTTTCCAGAATTTCTGATCAGAATGTGCTATAGTGCACATAAGTATGAGTCAGAAATGAGGCACTTTTCCCAAGAATTTGTTGCTTTTTGTTGTGCTTTTTCACATCATTGATGTAGTGTCCAAAGCGATTACAGACTCCACGATGTAATTACATGTCATTTCAGGGAAGTAGGTACATGAGCTACATGTGGTTTCCATAGAATCCCTACAGTATAGAAGCGGGCCACGTGGCCTATCGAGTCCACACCGAACCTCCGAAGAGCATCCCACCCAGACTCACCCCTACCCTATCCCTGCATTTTCCACCCTAGACACTATGGGCAATTTAGCATAGTCAATCCACCTAACCTGCACATCTTTGGACTGGGAGAGGAAACTGGAGCACCCAGAGGAAACTCGCGCAGATACAGAGAACGTACAGACTCCACACAGGCAGTCACCCGAGGGTGTAATTGAACTGGGTTATGCTTTTGTCTTTTATGACACCCCCATGGAGATCAACAAATTGAAAGAAACAAAACCCCAGTGAATGTATGATGTCAAGATTTCACCATAACTGGAACCAAAGATCAACATGAATTAATAAGCAAATTATGCTGAATATAAATGATAAATTATACATTAAATACAACAAAAAAACCTCTAATTTACCCAGCAGCCCACTCAGTATATATGCACCAGTTTCAGCTACAAAATCCTTCAAGAATTTCATTTTACAGAGTTCCAGTTTTATTTCCTCCTTATTCTCCGCTTCTTAACTAGCAACAATTTGCACGTCGCTAAGATTCCACAGAGACCATCTTCAGCAAAGTGATGCACTTGTCCAGAACCCCTTTAGCTCAGCTCCCAATAATCTCGTTTGTGTGGTTCCACCAGAACCTTGTTAGTATTGTTGGTAATGATTCTGTGCGCCGTTGGCGGATAATGATTTTTTTCAATTACTTCCAAATAAGAGAAACAGTAGCATCAACCTTGTGTTTGCTTATGTCTGTTTCTAGATACAGCCTTTGGGGTCCCCTCGTTGAAACTACGCCACTACCTTTTTCACTCCATAAACCCCATTAGCCTAGAGCCGGTTTCCATGCCACAACATGTGGATCTGTTTAATCACTTTTGGAGGCTGGGACAGTGTCTTGTTTGTTATGAAACCTCGCAATAGCTGGTTTCACTTCTTTCCTCAGGAGGTTACTGATTGTTGTTGCATGCTGGCTAAACACCGCTGACCTCAAATGGAGAACATTATCTATTTTCAATCTAATCCTTTGCCACCAGGCCATAATCTGCCACTGTGTACTTTTCTTGCTCATTACAAGCCTTTTGAGCTGAGCATCAGCCTTGACAACATGTGCTATTCCTATCTCCAGTTCTGGATTTTTGGGTGCCCCTATGGACATCTGAGATACATAGCTTGAGAAGCCATCCAACAGTTAGTTAATAGCAGTGGCTCACTACCATTCAAAGTATGAGAACTGCAGAGTCTGTTGGTCTTTGTACTGGCAAAAATCCTTCTTTATACCGATGCTATGTCCAAATATGGTAAATAGAACTTACTGCTGACTTGACTGTTTGTTTACATCTTAGTGTGCAACTGCAAGTAATCTAACCTAGAAAAATGTGTTCAATAACTGCTTGAATTGAAAGTAAGGATCCTGAATTAAGCACCTGTCAATGACTGACATGAACCTGAAGGAAAAAACACATAGGGATTGATGGAAAAAATTCTTATTGTTAAAGAAAAATTCTGTAACTAAATCATTTTTAAACGAAATGTCAAAGCATATTTTATTTTCTTTACAGAGGGAGACGGAGCAATTGTGGTGCAGCCAACATCGGCCACAGAAACAACTCAGCTGACTAGTGACAGTCACCCCAGCTATCACACCGAATGATTTAACTAAGCCAAGTTTGTTCTTGTAATTAAAAATTATATTTAAAATTCATTTCAACACTGGGTTAGTTAAAGCTATAGATAGGGAAAGAATTTTCACAAGATTGCCTGCAAAGATGAGAGCAGCCACTAACATTGCAGAGACCACCTTCCCTTTATCTTGCCTTTGCCACTGAACGTTACCTTCATAACAAAATGCTGTAGCAACCAGTATTTGAAGACATTAACACTTTTTTTTGTTTGAATTGCAAATTTTAAGGTGCATATAAGCTGATGTCTCATGATTAACTTCCAGTTGAACCAGTGCATGTAAACAACCAAATTAGATTCACCTAGAAATCCACTGACACTCCTGTCCTCTCTTCTTTCTGTTAGATTTTGTAGATTGTTGCCAATCATGAGTTTTGTTTTGATTTATTTTTGGGGTGTGGAAGTCTGGGTAATTATGGCCAATAATGTCTTTGCCATTATGACACACTTTTTGTGCTCAAGTTTCAGAGTTTTGTTGTGCAGTTACTTGTTTGTAACCGGGATGGCGTTCCATTTGTTGGCCTCAAAATATCTAAAATATCACTTGCAGCTCAATACTGAGGCCCAAAGTAATACTGACACCAGGTTATTGAATTGTGTTGTATTTTGCTACATGCTTTACTGCCAGATTCTGACATTAATGTAATAATCAAAAACTTTGTTGTGAAGTATAAACTTTGTCAGTAACTTTGCTACAGGCAAACATTCACCTAAGAATGAGAATTGGTTTTGAAATGAAATTTATTTTTTCAGAGTTATGGAACAAATAATATCAGATTGTACTCGTGATCAGTGAGCCAGTGTAAACAATTATGTTCACATGAAAAGAGCAGGTTTGGGACAAAAATTAGGAAATGGTTGACACTTCTAACGTTTCTTGAAAATGACATGGATTCTTTGCTTCATTGAAAAAAATAGAATGCTAAATAACAGTGCATGCAAAAACTGCATCTGACAGTTAAAATACCAGTGTATACTGTTGGAGCAAGCTCTTTTATTATTTGATCTAATTTCCTATCCTAATGTTCATTTTACAAAACCATATTTCCCTCCAATTTCCCTTTTTCACCTTGATTTGGTATATGTTTGCTATTAGTTTAAAAGTAAACTTCCATAATTATACATGTCCAGTTTAATTGTGATGTGATGATGGCAATACATATTTAAAGAATGATCTTTGTGAGTAAACTTTTCTCTCTATCAAATTAGCACTTTTTCTGCACAAAAATGTTAAATATTTTGAGTGTCAACAATTTGTGAATCTTCCCTTTTTATGAAGTTGAAAATAATAAAACAAATAGGTTTTAAAAGAAACCTAACCTATATGGTGGTAAGTGTAGCAAATGCTAGACCAAGTCCAGAATCCGCAGAAAGTCAACAATTTTTTTTGAGTTGATGCTGATTCTTTTAGGCATTAAGATTTTTCATAAAATGTTTAAAAGTGTTCTCCATTCATTTTCAGGAGTTAAATTTGAGCTCTGTCCAGACTGATGAAAAACTATGCTGTTGTCTGCTGGCTGTAAAACTTCCAAGTGAAATAAATCTGGTTCTCAATCCAGTTTCTAGGAACTTCGTCTCCCAAAACTGGTCAAAATTCAATGCTAACAGACACTGCAATGAACGTGTCATTCAGATCACGTTAATTGACATAGGAAGGAAATAACTAAATTAATATTAAAACTGTTATGAAGGGACTGATATTTATTAGCATGTTAATATTGAAAGAGCTGGGAGCTATGCTAAAGCAAGGGGGTACTGTGCTTGTAGCTTTTACAACATCAAGCATTGATAATGGTATTGTTTGTCTATCTTTTTCAAGTTTCACAAATGGATCAAGTGTGTTTAGCACTAGATAGGATCTAGAGAAAAGTTATCCTCTGCTCACTTTTACTCCCTTGTGTTGTATTGTTGTGTTTGAAATCCAGCTTTTGTTTTCTTGAGTTTGCTCACTTGGGGGAAAAAATGTGTAGCTTCCAAAGTTGAAACTATATACTTTATACTTGTTATCGAAATGAGAGATGGTTGTATTTGGGTTAACGTGAAAAAATGAAGCTTAATTGCTGTAAGACTATGAAGTTGCTTGTGTTGCATTAACTTGAAGATTTATTACTACTGAACTGTACAATTCTTTTCCCACTAAATCCTCTGTTGTGACATGCTTTATATAGGTTTTAATTAATCCTCATTTTTACTATCCTTTGCATAAATTATATTTTCCCATTATCATTGCATTAAAAGAGAAAAATTCTAAAAGAATCAAAATTTGAAAATTGCTCCTTTTACCGTTTTAACATTGAAAGACCTAGATTTTGGGAGACAGAGCATTTGTTGCAGCATGAACAAGTTCCAACCCATCCTGAATTAGTTGTGCTTCATTTCCTAACTTTATTTTTGTGGGAAAAAATACTGTAAAGCTAGTGTATTTAACTTTTGACCATAATTAACCTTCAGCTAGTTTATCTAGATTTTAATAAATGTTGGCAGTCATTTGTGAGGAGGCACTGATCAATTTTCAGAAAAAAAAGACTTTGGTTTTGAAATAAAATCTTATTTTAATTTTTTATAAGGGATTGCACCTTTTAGGCAAATTACTTCAGTACGGATGATTCATTCCGTTGTTACATTGGATACTTGTTCCTTTAGTTTTAGTCTGTATAGGATATAACGTTATTACAAGAAATAAAACTGTGCTGAGATCAATAGTTTGAACATTGTTACATAAAAGTGAGATTCTGGCAGAGAAAATTTGAGTTGTAATAACAGATTTGTATTCTTGAAGGCATGAGTCATTCTAAACATTTTCTGTGTTGAAATTTTTATACCTCATTGCTTAAGTCATAAGTATGCCTAGTTTGCTAGTTATGATGTCATACCTTTTCAGATAGAAAGCAAGAATAAGAATATTTTACTTCAATTGTGTTACTAACTTTACCTTTCCCTTTCAAAATATACTACTTTTGTTCCTGTAGTTAAGTCTAATTCAAACTTCCGTGCTGCTAGTTACAATTACCTTGCATATTGCACCTCCAGATTATCTGATAAATCAGGGCTCTATTTGCCTGCCCAGGTGCATTTAAAAGATTCCATAGCACTATTTCAAAGAAATAAAATAATTATCTCCCATTTCTTGACCAATATTTATCCATCAATCGATAGCACGAAAAACTGATTATTGTCATAGTGCTGTTTGTGGGAGGTTGCTGTACATAAATTGGCTGCCGTATTTCCTATATTACAATAGTGACCTACCCTTTAAAAGTACTTAACTGGCTGTAAAATGCTTTGAAAAGTATGGTGATCATTAAAGAATGTTATGTAAATACAAGTTATTATTTTTAATTTTAATTCTGCTTAGTGATATCACTGCTTCTATATGCTTTTGAGGTGTGGTTAATCTGATATTTTAGTAAATTTGAATTAATAAAAATATCAGTATACAAACCAAAACAGGTAATATTTAGAAATTGATCCCCTGGAATATGCTTCTGTATTTAAAATGTCTAGACTTTTTTTTTTTTTAGGTTAACACCTTGAATAGCATGTTGAATTTTAGCTATCATTAATGGATTTAAGTTAACTAGTTGAATAAAATATTGAAAACTTGCATATTAATTTATAATCAAGTTGATCTAGTCAATTAAATTACTAATATAAACAAAGCGTGGTCTCTTGTGGCATAGTGGTAGTGTCCCTATCTCTGAGCTGGAAGATGTGGGTTCAGGTCCCACTTGCTTCAGAAAAGTATAATAACACTTCAGAACAGATTTATTAAAAATATTTGAGCATAATGATGGAGCGACTCAGCGGGTCTGGCAGTATCTATGGAAAGAAAAACAGAGTTAATGTTTCAAGTCATTTGATTCTTCAGCTTTAATGTTAAATCTTTGTCAGCGCAGATGCTGCTAAATTTGCTGAATTGTCCAGCACTTTGTTTTAATTTCAGATCTTCGCCATACTCAGAACTTTGTTTTTAATTATATTGCTTGATAATCAATGGGAGATATGTCCAACATTGAATGATATCTGTGCATCAAGTTATCATAATTTTAAAATAGATAGCAATGGACCGAAAAGACATTGACATGGAATTGGTATTGATATTCACAAGACGTAGTTTAGGAAATGCTGAACCCAGGTGGGCTGTTCTGGAGCGGTCAGCCTAGAAAACCTGATGAGTGAAGCATTCGCTCATCTGACAGCTTCTATAGTGTTTCTGTGCATATGGTGTATACAATATCTTTTTTTATACCACCTTTTGTCCTTTCTTTGTGTTTGTTTACTGTAATAATTGATAGATATGGAAGTTGCGGTCTCCAAGGATCTTTGAACCTGCTGGCTGTAGTAAGGTGCAAGATGGTCTGATCTGCATTTCAACATGCATTGTTAAAATATGAGATATGGCCGTTCACTAATAGTAATACCCAACAATGTGAGACCTCTGAGCTATGTCCATAGAATTATTCAAGCATTGTCCCTAAGCTGGCTATCTCTACAGTTCACTCCTTCTAGTTATGGTATTCATCAAGAATTTATTAAATTGGTAATATTAAATAGCTTATATGCACTGTTCGTTTCTATTCTCAAAAAAAAATTCAATGAACTACCATTTCCAGCATGGTTTGCTTCATTTAAGTTAATATGTGGCTTCAGTCTAGTTGGCTGTCACAGTAGTAATATGTCTGCTGCAGTAACATGTTGAAACGTAATGCTATTGTGGAGAATTTAACTGCTTTCTTCTGTAATGATTCAGTTTCAGGTGCACAAAATATGGGAGTAATTGATTTTTTTTTTAAATAGTATATCTTGTAAATTTTTTGTTTATATATAGCTATTTTCCTGTTATGCATTGAAGTTTATATTTAGCAATTACATTGTGAATTAAAAGAACAGATTTTGAACACCAGGTATCCGGTGCTGAATGATGGAGTACGGTACTTTTAAATTTTTTTGTTCATTCGTCTGGAAGCATAAATGATCTACAGAATCTTGCAATATAGTTAACACATTCCCAAGAATTAGGTAAATGACATCTGAGTGAAGAAATCAGGCACTGAATATAGCTATGTATTAGTTTTTCCTGCTGCTTGGATATTTCTGATACTTGTTAGATATGCCGGCATTGGCACAAGGTGTCTAATTCAACAAATTGTAGAAAACAAAAGGTCAAACATTCAGGTGGTCTATATGACTATAAATAGTTTGCAGTCTCCTTTATTTAAATAGTTATCTATCATTGTAAAAGTTGCTATATAGGAGTATAATTTTTATTGTGCCTGCTGGGGATCCTGTGTGACTGAAATTCAGATGAATTTTGCATAGGTACTTCCTTTTTTTTTGTAAACATTTTATTAGCGATTATGCCAGATAATAATAGTCTTATTTTATTAAACTATTATCTTTATAGAAACATAAAGGAAAGCAAAACTGGCTCATGAAACAAGGATTCTAGCCTGTTTCTATTTGTTGAAGGATGAAAATTTTATGTTGCCTATTATTGTTTCCTCTCATCGCTCTGCATCTGTTAATTCAATTAAACCTTTTGTATTCTCCAATTAAGTTGTAAAATATAATGTGTTGTCTAAATGTTGGTTTCACAGACCAAGGGTGTAATTTTCTTTGTCTGAAATTGAATCAAGATTGTATGTGTACTTTTTTGTAACATAATACCGTGCTGAAATTTGCATCTACAGAAGAAATGTTTTATCATTCAGTACATTTATTATCAGTGATCAAATAAGCTGATACTTTTTTTATCGGTTACCAGAAAAAGTGAATAACACAATCTTTTTCTTTTTATTTGATGCATACTGCTCTCGTTTGGTACAGGGATAACACTGAATTACAGATTGTCCCAGATGTTGTTGAATGTGGCTGCCGAGAAGAAAAATGTAAAGTCAGAATGCATTGTGTGAACTGTATTTGAAATTTGACATTCTTTAAAATTCAAATTATTGGTGTAAAAATAGAATAAACCATTGTTATGCAACATTTTTGGTATATTCTTTAAGGACCATAGTTGAAATTGATGTAAGTAAATGTGGTTATGTTAACTACAGGACTTGATGCCCATGGACTCCTGTACATAAAATAAACTGTCACGTTTGTTTTAGCATGATTATTTATGTACTGTATTGCTGAAAATCATTGGTAATTTATTTGATTTGCAGTTGTAAAATAAATGTCTCTGTTGCTTAAAAACAAATGTTTGTATTTGCTTTATTTTCTATACCAATCATACTCCTGCATATTTTCTGTAGTAGAATGTAGCTACTTACCATGCACAACTGCTGCCTGTCTGTTATTTTTGTTGATTGTGTGGAAGCCCGTAACCTCATCTTAGGAATGACTACTTTGCCTGTCTTACCCATGACAACATGAAATGCAATGACGTTGCATTCACCTAAAGGCTAATTTGCTAACCTTAATCCTAATTCCTTTGCATTTTAGAAGTAAATGGACAATGCAGTTGCTTGTACACCATTTGTGACTCCTCGGATGCTCAAGCAGTCTGTATTCATGTGCAGAAAGACTTGGACAGCACCCAGGTTAGGACTGATGAGGGTCAAGCAATATTCATGTCAAAGAAGTACAGGCAATGACCATCTTCAGAAGAATTTAACCATTACCTCTTGATGTTCAATGGCATTACCATTGTTGAATCCCCCACTATAAGCATCCTGCAAGTTACCGTCGACTAGAAACTGAAACGGGCCAGCCAAATAAATACCATAGCTACAAGGGCAGGTCATACACTAGAAATTCTGTGGTGAGTAATTCTCCCACTGTCTCCCCAAAGCCTGTCCATCATCTGCAAGGCACAAGTCAGATGTGATGGAATACCCTCCACTGCCGAGATGGTGCAACTTTAACAATGCTCATGAAGCTTAACATTAAAGGCAGCCCACTTCACTGGCAGCATTAAACATTCATTTCCTTTACTGGCAGTAATGTGCATCATATGAGATGGTCCTCGGTAACTCTCCGAGACTCTTCCTTGTAATCCTCTACCACAGACCTGCCATCACCTTCACGTTCCCTTCCGAGCCACACTCCATCTTGATTTGGAACCATATCACCACTCCTGTATTACTGTGTCAAAGCACCAGGAACTCCTTTCCTAACAGCTTTTTTGGGATGTCCCTTGAACCACTGCAATCCTTGAGGTTTAAAAGGCACTCACCACCACTACCTTCAGGAATCAGTAATAAATTACAACTAGCCAGTGGCACCCACATCCTATGAATCGATTAAAAGTACCAACATCATCTTTCTGGCACTTTAGGACATTGAGGTCTATCCTGTGGTGGAAATGCCAAAAGTTGGGAATTGCAATCCTAACCCCAAACCTCATAGTGCATTTTCAGCGATGTGGGAATGTGTATGCTTCATAGTTCCTCCATGCAGTTGCCTAGAGGCCGTTGGTTATTTAAATGAGAGTGGAGATTGGATTAGAGCAGGTCTGTTCTGTGCTTTTATTTCGGAGAGCTGCCATAATCCTGTCAATATGGTCACAGAATCCTTTTGGATAGGACTTTGGGTATCATTTGGTTGTGGAGGTAATTGGGCAGAGGAGGGTAGTTCCATTTTAACAGAAAAAGTAACTGTGGAGAAAAGTGTGCCTATTAGGTGCAGAAAGACCTTGGAACTGTCCAGTTTTTCCAATAGTGTCAGCAAGTTGTCCCATCAAGAACTGTCAGCAATGTTTTTATGAATGAGTGCTTTTCTCAGTCTAGTCTCTATGAATTTTTAAATAACAGAGCCTTTTTTCTGTATGTGTGGGTGCTTCTGGGTACTCGAATGAGAGCATTGTAAGTGAAGGGGAAGGAGTTGGCAGGAGTATGAGGAGACATAAAGATAGCTAAACGGGTGGTATGGAGGCTGTGGGGCAGATTGACGTGAATAGTATATAGGTAGTATGAGAAGATGAAGGGAACGGAACAAGTTTATATTTTTAAACTTCATTTGTAAACTTTGACAATAGTCCCCAAGGCAGGCTTTCCACCCAGTTGGCATTGGCAACCAACAGCCTAGGCTAACTCCTAATCTAGCTCATGAACCTGGATTGAAAATCAGAAGTGCTGGCTGCCAACTTTAAAGGTTGGGTCTACAGAGCTGGGATTTCTCCTCTGTGAACCCAACCGCGAAGCAAAGATTGGGGCTGGAGGCTACTCCTGGTAAACTCAAACTGCTGCCATCATCTGCAAGACCAAGTACCTTGTAATATCTTCTCAGTAAAACAACTGGAGCCTTCCTTTGATCTCTAACAATCAAACCACCCTTGCTTACTATGAGGCAGACTGTAGAACAAGTCACCTGACCCACAAGTAACCCTAATTTTAAAGCTATAGTTAAAAATATTATGCAGATCAATTGAACCATATCAGATTTTGCTGGACCAGGGTATTCCCATGGGTCCTGTCAATTTGAAATTATTCATGCATATTTAGATTTTAATTTTCTGTGCAATGTTGCCAGATATGAGCTGCAAGGAGCTTAAGGGACTGTAGAGCTTATAAGACCTTGGTGACGAAGGAACAACTAGCACTTGCTGCCTGATCTGCTATGGTCTCCAACTTGTGTTGTTTTCAGCTTTTCCTCAGCAATGTGTTTTAGCAATTGAGAAATCTAAGCTGAAGGACTGAAATAGAGGATAAATTATATATGAATTCAATATCAAATCGAGTACAAGAAAAGATTGGATTAAGCAGAAAACAGACAAAAAAAGTGAACAATAGAATTTGAATTTGACTTTTTTTTTAAAACTTCAATAACCTGAAGGATTCCGGCATCTCTTGGATGTGTTCCCTGGCTATGCATGAAATTGATTTAACAGTTATTAACAATCAAGTTCTTGCATTTTTACTTGCCCTGATAATTACTTAACAACTTTGTTGGATAATGTGGAATGTGTTATTTTCCTATGTTAATACACAGCCTGTGATTGGCAATTTGAGTATTTCTTATCTCAAGTTGCGGTTGATTTGCACATTAATGACTTATTCATGTGCTGTTTGTTATTCAGTGAATTCTGCTTTGATTTTTAAATATTCCAATTTATTGTTTTAAATATAATTTTTTTGTACAAATCAGGATTGACTTCATACTGTATGGTGGGAATGTTGTCTAAACAGAAATTGCTTGTTAGTTCTACATCAAAAATAGATAGCTCTGAGAAGAAGTGAGTACAGTTCTAGGGAAGACAGGGCATGTACATACAGTGTTTCACTTTCCTGTCTCAGTATCCTGCTTCTCCTCAAAGTCTACACAAACCAATCAGAAGTGTTAATTGATTGAAATGGATTTAAATAGATCCAAAATTGGGAGACACTCCTGCCTACTGCTATGGCATGCACCAAAAATTGTATTTTATATCAGTTTTCAGTCTTGGAGTTATATCAACAGGACCTCATTGTCTGATAAGCATTCCTCTTCAAACAAAATGTCCAATGGTATATCAAATAATTTGAAACATAGAGGAATGCCCCAACATTAATTCCCCTCCTCCTTCCATGGCTTGCTTTGGCTTTGCATTAATTGCCTGTCTCCCTGTTCTTTTTGCATTATCTCTTGAAATATCGTATCTCTATTCTTCAAAGCTACTTTCAGTCTAGGGGCTCATTGTTTGTATTTGCCTGTTTATCAGTAATTGCTGCCAGTTTTGTTCCTATGGTCTGTTAATAAGCTGTTCATAATAGATTGGGCAGCCAACTTTTAATTCCTTATCAGGCTATTGAATCATTAGATGATTTACCTATGGGGAGCTGCTAACCACAAATTAATTAACTTCCACATTCCAGCAAGTACTTTAATTAAGCAAAGTTAAATTAGAAAAAAAACTAACAGCTTTACAACATGGTTGTCTATTCATGCATTTACCCAGCTATCGCTAACTTTTATACTAACTACCATAACATAAGACCAGTCATTTTACCAGTTTATTTCCAGTGAAATAATGGTTGCAGAACTAACTTAATCCCTGACCTATTTCAAACTGACTACTAAATGCGTTTATTCTAAGCATGTTTCTAGTTTGTAATATCGGGTCAAAAAATGCAGCTGCTGGGGAGAGTGGTCTTTCTGCAGACTGAGAAAATTCTCTGGACTTCTCAGGGCATTTGTGGTATCCAATATCAGCTCTCAAAATGATAGAGGACTTTCAGTCAGAATGTCTCATTCAATCGAGTATCAAAATTATGACACAGGACTGAAGAATTCTGAGAGTTGAGCGTGTGGTGAGTTTAGGTTTTGTAGTTTCTGTTAGACCCCAGCTTACAAGTGATGCTCCTATATATTCTTTGTCTGACTTCTGCTCCCATATTCCTTGGATTTTGGAGATGAATGCAGTGTTCAGAACAGAGAGCTATTGCAGGAGTTGGGTGTAGAAGGTTTCCTCATTTCATGTTCGAATGCTGCTGTCTACTGTGAGATTGGGCTTCTATTACAAATTATGTAATTGCAGTTGATCTTGTATTTTTTAAAAATTGTATCCCTCCATGAAATCCACTTTACAACCACCTTTGCCTGCCTGTGCTTCTATGATGTGTCTTCTAATCTTTCTACATTAAATGTGTACCTATTAATGTAACTTGGTTATAGAGCAAGTAATATGAGCTGTAGCTGACAAACTCTCCTGTTTGCATGTTAGCTTGCTCCCATAACAAATTCCAGATCTATACTGTGTACATCTGCTTGGAATTTTTGGTCCCAGACAATGAGGGAAGACTGATGAATTAAACTGCATTTATTTCTATGTAAGAGGCCTGGTAGGTAAGACAGATGAACTCCAGGCATGGATGGGGTCATGGTGCTGGGAATATCATAGCTATTATAGAAACATGTTTGAGGGAGGAACAAGACCGGCAACTCAATGTTCTGGGGTATAGGTGCTATTAGAAGGATAGAAGGGGAGGTGAGAGAGGAGGAAGAGTAATGTTTTTCCTTAGGGTAAACATCATGGCAGTACTTGGGATATTCCTGGGACATTATCCAGTGAAGCTGCATGGTAGAACTGAGAAATAATGAGGTGATCACTTTTGGTAGGGTTGTATTATAAGCACCCCAGTAATCAGTAGGAAATTGAGGAGCAAATATATAGGGACATAGCTGTAAGAATAATAGTGTAATAGTAGGAGATTTTCTTTCCATAGACTGGGACTGCATTGTGTTAAGGGCTTGGATGGGGAAGAACTTAAGCGTGTTCAA